CCTAGAGTTAAAATATCCCCATTATCAACAAAGTTTTATGGATATTTTAGTGTCATAATGATATCAAAATTGAGTGATCCTAGAGTTATTGGATTTGTCTTCTCAAAATGCTTAATTTGGTTATAAGCATGTCATAATCGAAATCCATTTGACCTTCCAATGATGCCCGAAAAGCTTTTAAAAACTATTTAACAGCTTGGTTTGGGCTTGATTTGATCTACATTAGATTGATTTTAGTATTGTTGGGTCCGTCTTGTCAAGCCAGGTAGTTTGGTTATAAGTTTGATAAAATATGAGTTCTGGATGACTTTTAATTGAAGTTTGAACTTTTCTTGCTCAAAACTGCCCGAGATCCATGTCAGGTCTCGAGATTCGAAGGGGGGGGGGGGGGGGGGGGGAGGGGTGGGAAAAAGTAAAGGGCTAGTCAGGCTGCCTCCCTCTTCAGTACCCTCTGATTGCAGCCACCTTCGACAGCCTTCGCCACCTCTCATCCCCATCGTCGCTGCTTCCTCATGCCGCCACCTTTGACTGCTACCACCAGTTGCCCCCTTAGCTTCTACTTGATGTCGTCGCTGCCTTCGGCCAACTCAAACCGCCTCTTTACCGACTACTGTCGATCAACTTTGGTCGTCACCTGCTCCCTACCGCGGAGCAACAAGTTTTTCCTTGCACATACGTTGGAATCCAAGAAATAATGTAACCTTTTACCGCCAGTGAGACAAGGGTTGCACTTCTAATTACAAACTCATTTTGGAATATCACAACAGAGCGGCTCTGTGGTTTTTTACTTTTTTTAGTTTTTCACGTAAAAAACTTTTGGTGTTCTTACTGGTTATCTTTTTTCATTTGAGTGTATGTTGGACTCTCTTACAATGCAAAGACAATTATGTGTTACTCTATCGCCGCGAATTTTCAAGCATGCATCAAATCAATTATTGAGTTTTCCCTTTACCCAATATTTCTTTGAAAATTGAATTATTTCCACTTTTCGAATTTGGCTCAGATGAAGGAGAATTAGATAATGCAAAAATTAAACATAAACATGCTAACCCATAAATAGTTTACTTTTTTTCTTCTCTTAAAACATGTTCCTACAAATATTTCTAGCTTAACATGATGACAAAGTGATATTTGTGTAGACATTTTGATTTAATGAAAACTATTGATCTAATCTAAGATCGCTAGATCTATAATGCAATTTGGCAAAATGAAAATATGAAATAAATTCAACACAATTAAGCAAATAAAAAGATGAAATTAATGACATTAAAATAGCCTCGGAGGGAGACATGTGGATCACACTTTCCTTAGAGCATATCAAGCCTTTGGCACACCAATTTGTGGCTCTCTTCAGCTTCGACGATACAACCCGTCCCATTGTATTGGTTGCGCGTGCACCACTACTAATTGATAAAGCTTCAAACTAATTTCGTGTCCCCTTAAATTTGATGGAGGAAAAAGAGAAAATTCAGAATTTTTCGTCTTCCTTTCTAGGTCATGTACTCATCTAGGGCTGTCAAAAAAGCTCGTTGTTCGCGAACAGTTTGTGTTATGTTCGTCAATGAGTTTGCGTTTGATTCGTTCGAAAAATAAACGAGACGAACATGAACAAATTTTTTTTGTTCGGTTAGTTAAACGAATCAAACAGGAACAGTGATGTGTTCGTTCGTGTTTGAATCGTTATTGTTCGAAATATAACATAATTTAAAATAATTATTTATAAAAATGTATGATATTTTAAAAAATTAAATTTTATAAATTATAATATATAATAAATTAATAATAATAATATATTAATATACTGTATAAGTAATATACTAATAAAGATATTATATATTTATATAATATAAGTTATATAATTAATATAATATATTATTTATATGTACTAATATTAGAGATGTCAAACTGGCTCGTCATTCATAAACAACTCATGTTCGGCTCGTTCGTTAAGAAACGAACACGACAGTGACTTCACGAACAATTTCGAACACGAGCTTATTTCAAACAAACTGAATTTCAAACGAACTGAACACGAACACAAGCTCTGTTCGTTTACACCCCTATACTCATCTATTTATAAATGAAATTGAGAAACAAAATAATAAATACAATTTAAGATTTATAGCAATTAACAAAAATTATTTTAAGTTACAAATTCATTTACTTATGTTTAATATCATTTTGTTATGAATTATAACATAAATATATAATTAATTTATTACCTTCAATGCTAACTTTGTTTAATATTAACGTCACAATATTATCACATTAGAGCATATTTTATTTTATTTTAAATTAATTGTAGCAATGTGGCATTTAATTTTTTTAAAAATAATAATAATTTATTTTCTATTTAAAATTAAAATTTTGAATGCTGCGTGTCTAATTATGAAAATTTAGGTGTGAGATATATAAATACACAAAAATTAAGTGTTAAAAATGTAAATGCCCGCAATTATTTATGGGCAGAAATGTAAACAGTAATTCCAGGTATTTATTGGCGCACACCTAATGCATGAAATAAAAATAAATGCGGCTTGTTGCAATATTGATTTTATAGATGAAAACTATAATTTTATTTTGCAACATTTAATGAGTTGCTTAAATAAAACTCTCAAAAGCCATCAGAGGACAGAGAGGCTTGATTTCACTTTTTAATACCAAAACTGACGTTAACCACTATCATATTACAAATAAATATTACGGACGTAGAGTTATATTCGGTGTCCAATAAAATTTTATCACGTGGAGTTAAAAAAAAAATAAAAAAAATTCATTTTAGCCCAAGGGAATATTTCTCCGTGTTCTTCCGCGTTATTTAGGTGTTATTGTGATGATATTTATGTATTATTGTGTTCTAGGAATATTTCATGTGTTATGAAAATACAATAACAACTAAATAATGTGAAATAAGACGGGAGAAATATTCTCCTATGTTACCGGGCCAGATCACAAAAAAAACAGAATTTTTTTTTCTTGTTAGCTTTCATTGGAGGTGATTCATTGGACTCCGGGCATAATAAATTTTCATAATATATTACATGGTATTTTAATAGTGAAGTTGCCTCCCACCATCGTTTATTTATTTATTTATAGTTTTCTTTTCGGACCGGGAGAGGGATTGAACTCATTTCTAGATATTATTAATCACCTTATAACTTCTTTATTTTCGGTATAATTTATCCACCGTCCATTATGTTTCGAGATCTGTGCATAACGGCTAATTTGTGGACACAAAAATTTCATAACCATTACGAAGTTCATCATAAAAGGTCATATAAAGTGTTGATACTCTTTTTTTTTTTCTTAATTGCTATGCAAATTTATGAGAAAGAGTAATAAATTTCAGATGTAGGGCTGTAAACGAGCCGAGCTTAAGCGAGCGAGTGAGGTCAGGCTTGGCTTGTGCTCAAGCTCGGCTCGTGTTCGGCTCATTCGAAATAGCTCGTGTTCGAAATCAGCTTGTGTTCGAAATCAGCTCGTGTTCGAAATATGCTGGTGAACAGTGTGTTCGTGTTCGGCTCGATTTAAATATTCGTGTTCGGCTCGAAATTGGTTCGTTAAACTAAAATTGAGAAAAATAGATGTAAAGTGTGTGATTCAAACCTAGATTAAATATATACAAAAGAAGACAATAACCACATTACCACATGAAATGTTATGATTTAAACTTATACATAAATATATGTAATATATTGTTATATAAAAATTTATATAATTTTTTTTTTCGAGTCATTTTGAGCCGAACACGAGCGAACAAACTGTTGTTCGTGTTCCGCTAGTTTACATTTCGAGTTTAAAAATTTGTTCGTGTTCGGCTCGTTAGGCTTAACAAACGAGCCGAATACGAGGGGTTCACGAGCCAAATTGACAGCCCTATTCAGAAGTGAGGGTTAATCAATTAGTACAAGTAAAATTTTAAATTATTTGGTTGGAGATAAAATGTCATATTTTTATTTATCTTAAAATTTTTAAAATATGATTTGCAGCCGATCTTATCTTTTCGTATTAGTTTATCACAATAATTTTATATATTTAAGTTATATTAATTCTATGGATGCGAGAATCAGTGCTTTAATGTTTTTTATTCTTGGGAACGGAGAGGTCTAACAATGTAAGGCTGCTCAGAAATTTTATATTGTTCTATTGCCTTACACTATGGATTCCTTCGCGTGATCCTCTCAAGTTCCCAACTCATGCAATTTACTCCCCGCTTCTTATGCCACCCACATCAAATAATGCCCACTGCGATATTAAATAAATAAATTAATTTTTTTTAAAAAAAGAGCAATTTTGCAACAACATATGCCTTTTCCACTCATATTATTCATTTAATATTAAAGAATGAGAATTAAAATTAAAAAAAAAAAGAATAAATTGTTGAAATAATACCCCTAGGATTTATATAAGTACCAAAATAGTCCCCAAATATTTTAAGAATGAGTTCTAGTAATTCTCCAAAGGGAGCCAATACAGCAACTCATTTGAATATAATAATTTTTCCTTCATGAGAGCCACTATTATATTTCGTCCGAACACCACACGTCCGATGACCAACTACCTGTCACATCCCCATACACCTTATTGTCAGACGACATGGTGGTTGGTGATTGGCCGGAAGGACGGACGTCTAGACGTAAAATTTTTCCCTAATTTAAAAAGATTGGAGACTATTGTGACACTTCTATAAACTCTAGAATTAAAACAATCTCATATAATAAGGGTGCATTTAGGCCAGTTTGTGCATTTCAGGATAAGTTGTTTATCCTGAAACGCGGTACGCTGGTCGACCGAGGGGTTCGACCCACAGCCTGTTTAGTGTAAAAATCCAACCGCGTATTTCAGATAAGTGGACTGAACCTGCGAACCAAACGGTACCGCAGCATTTACAAAAACGCCCCCGCACTTATAAGCTACTTAAACGGGCCCTAAGTCGGGACTATTTAGGCACTTTACTCAATCATAAAAACTAAAAATAAATTTAAACAAAATGAATGAAATTAAGTTCAGATACCTAAAAATAAAATGAATGACCAATATCATACTATACAACTACAAATAAAAGGAAAGAATTCATATCCTTGATATCGAATACACTCAGGTTTTGGAGTTCATTTGATGTTTTGGCTGTGTCATACCATCAATAACCCACCAATTCGGTAAAAACAGCAAGAAAAATAAATCGGACCCCTCGCCAAGCTCTATTCAGTTTATCCACAAAGAAGCTTCTTAAGCGTTAGTCCTATGGAGAATATGTATACGAAATTACCATTATACCCCTACCAGCCATCTGTAGAGCATCCCAAACCCACTTTCCTCCTCCCACTCCACAAAACCACTTGCCTCCAAATCCCAACTACGGTCGACATTGCCGGCGACGATGCCCGGAGATGGATCGAAATGATGGCTGCCGATTCTCCCAGAGAATCTCAAGGAATTGAAGGAAGAAGATGCCGAGGAAGTGAGCCGATCGACGCAATCCCTAAGCCAACCACGCCCCCCATTTCCGGCGTTCTCAGCGACCTCGGATCCCGGCGGCGGCGGCGCTCCAATAACTTCAATGCCGTTCTCTGGTTTGCCCACCGGTGCCCTCCTCAGGCGCTCCACAACCGCTTCCACCTCCTCGTCCACCAAATAGTCGAAAGAAGAACCCAAAGAGTACGATCGTCCATGGCCGCTGGGGATCCCATCTGCCGACGGCCTCCGGCGGCTTACACTGCCGAGTTCAACTCGGAAGCTTCCAGATCTGGAAGGATCGGAGGCCGCCGCCGGCGGGCCAGCCCCCCCCTCCCGGGGCCCCCCCCCGGCGGCGCAGCCCCTACCGCCGCCGGAGGGAGACGGATGGACGCGCGGCATAGAGGACAGGATGGCGTGGATCGGAGCCAGGTGTCGACGCATTGGGAGTGGAAGGCGTGGCGGCATGCTGGGAGGAAGCGAAGTTCGTCGTGAGGGCGGAAGTTGGAGAGGCAAACCGCGCAGTCCAGTGATTGGGGTTTCTGGTAGGCGGAGAAGGATGATGCGAAAGTAAAGATAGGGAGAGATGAGATTAACTGATCTCGATCGTTAGCCGGCAACGGTGGTTCGGAATCATTACCTGCGACGGAAAGGAGAAGAGGGATGGGAGATGGAGGGGAGGAAGATGAGGAAGACGAAGCGGAGGAAGACGATCTGGAACGGGAGATCAGACGGAGGAAGAGATGGATGGAAGCGGAGGCGGTGATGACGATGGCTATAATGCCGACGATGATGATTAGGCTCGGAGCACTGGAATGCCCATCGCCAGAGACAGAGCTCGCCGGCGATGGTGGCGATGGAGGCGAGGGAGGTGGCTGTGGTGGCGTCGGAGGAGAAGGAAAGGGAGGAGAGGGGAATGCGAGCATGGCGTTGATTCCGGTCTTGGGTTTCAATTTCACCTCCTTTTCTTTCTCTTCCTCTTCTTCAAGAACCTTGAAGAAGGAGCATTTATATATATGGGAGAAAAATATGACTAATTAAAGAGCATTGAAGTCAAGCCTAACATTCTTTTATGATTTTTATAGTCTTGATTGTAGATTCATCTTTTTGTGGGAGATAAAACGTCTAAAATTATGTATTATAATATATATATAATAAGATAATACTATCATGATATTGAATAAAAAAGACTTTTATTATGTGAATTTTAATGCATATGATCATACGGATGTGGTCATTAGACCCCCCTTTTATGAAAGGAGATAGTAACCTAGCATTTGAAACACTAACATTGATTTGGTTATAAGATTATAACCCCCTTTTATATGATTTAATATCTGTGGTTATAATTTGGGATACTAATTCATCAAAAGAGTGCTACCCACATACATTGGGGTTTATATAAATAACAATAAAATAAATTAAAATATAAATTGAGCAAGGCAATTTTATATATAGCACCCAGTCGACATTTATATAAAATGTCATTCAAGCCTTGAGGAACATGTAAAATTACTATCATATTTATTTTACTTTCAATGGATTTATAAAATCTTATTTATTTGGTATAATCATAATTTTATATGAATTTAAAATATATGATTTAATCCGTTCATTGAATCATAATTTTATAAATTTGGAACATTTTGCCGATGGGCATGTAATGCTTCATTCTCCATTTCTCTTGGATAAACCACAATGCCTACATATCATTCATTTAACAATCCTCGTAAATTAAATAATACTAAAATCTTCTCTTTTGCTTAGGTTATGATTGTATCCCACTCTCTTTTGAGGCCCTTAGGGCAAATATTAGATATGTTTCATACACCTACAACCACCCAATGAGAGGAGAGAGAGAGAAGGGACCCACTCTCTCTCCTCTCATGGGTGGTCGTAGGTGCATGCAAAACACCTAATATTTCTCTGACGTCCCTAAGCCTATTCTTTCTGTCAAGCAATGCATACATCATCGATTGGGAGCGAAAAAAGATTTAGAAGTACTATAAATTGGTGAATAATGATAGAATATCAATGTTTGGAGGTATGTATTTGTATTTACAAATTTATTCATTTTGTTGTTTGATTAAGGATTCTAAATTTGAGATATTTTCTTAGAATTGAATTTTAGTTTCTATCAGTTAGATCCACTATGCAAAAATAATGCGGAAATAAAGAAATTTCACACAACAACAATCAAACAAAAAAGATTTACGTGGTTTGGTGTTAAGTTGGTTTTTTACATTCATAGGGAGGCAAATTTCACTAGCAACGGATGGGGAGAAAGAAAAACATCTTAAAGTGACAATTGTTACCTTCTCACTCTCTCACAAACATAAGTCATTTTGATAGATGATGATTAGGATATACAAGTAAATAAAGTCATAAGTCTAAACTAACCGTAATTACAATAAAAATCATAAATACAAAAACCTTCACATCATTTCTTACTTCCAGATAAGTGAGAGATGACCAAATAAGCTTCAAACTCTAATTCAGTCACTCTAATTCTTCGAAATGCTCGACTACGCAATTAGCCCTGAGCTAGGATGTTCACCAAATTCCTGCAGTATGTGAACTTCTGAACTTATAGTACCTTAATGAGCATCACCACTGGATTATTGTTTATTTCTATCTTCTTCAACAGAACCTTGTTATCATCAATCAAGTCCTGAACAAAACGGTACCTCACATCAAGGTGCTTGGTATAAGTATGATGAACTGGATTTGTGTTCAAGAATATTGCACTCTGATTGTCACATAACGCCATCAGAGACTGCTGATCAACTTTCAAATCGTCCAATAGACCCTGCATTCATATCGCTTTCTTCATTGCCTTTGTCATTGTCATATACTTAGCCTCCACAATACACAAAGCAACAATTGACTGAAGAACTGATCTCCAACTATCTGAAAGTCCTACCAATGTGCATAAATAGTTATCTATAGATCTTCTTCTATCCATAGCACATGCACAGTCTGAGTCAATGTAGCTTACAAAAAAATTTGCAATATATGTCTGTCTCTTAAAAGCAAACCAACTTTAATTATACCTTTCATATACCACAGAATACTCTTCACATCCTATCATTGTTGTGTTCTTGGATCATGCATTAATCTGTTCATAACACCAACTGTTTGTACAATGTCTAGTCTAGTACAAACCATGACATATATCAGACTGTCCACTGCAATAACATAAGGAACGGATGACATATCTTTCATTTCCTGATCATCTTTAGACACTAATCTAAACTCAATTGAAAGTGAGATTCAATAAGTAGATTCATCATGTTGCTTAAGACATCAATCCCAAGTTTCTTCAACACCTTCCATAGACAAGCTTCCTACAAAATATAAATCTTTCCAGTTGCCTTGTCTCCAAGAATCTTCATCTCAAAAATTTTGTGAGCTTCACAAAACTCCTTCATTTCAAAATGTTTGGACAGTTGATTCATCATCCTATCAACCTCAATCTGACTGGCAGATGAAATTAACATGTCATGAACATATAGAAGCAAGTAAACAAGCTCACTGTTGGCTAACTTCTTGAAATTTGCATAATGATCATACTGTCTCCTTGTATGCTCATGTTCCCTCATGAACTTGTCAATTTTTTTATACCACTATAGTGATGACAGCTTCAACTCATAGAAAGACTTGTCCAATTTACAAACTAAGTCTTTTGATGCTCCACATCTAGGTGGTTGCAACATGTATATCTCTTCTTGTAATTCTTGATGTAGAAATACAGTCTTCACATTGAGTTGTTTCAAGATCAGACCGTATTGTTCTACAAGTGTTAAGGAAACACAGATTGAGAGATGTTAGACCATTAAGGAGAACACCACATCATAATTAATCCCTTCTCATTGTGAAAATCATTTTACCACTAATATTGTATTGTACCAATCATCAACTTTGATAGCCTTCTTTGCAAACACTCATTTGCACCTGATATATTTCCTTCCTGAAGGAAGCTTCACCAACCTCCAAGTACAATTCATCTGAAGAGACTCCATCTCTTCATTCATTGCCACTCTCTAATGATCACAGCCTAGGCACTTCGTCACTTTCTTGTAGTGACAAGGAATTTTGGCCTCCGTAGCTGAAAGTGCAAATGTAATGTGATCTCTCAACCAAGCTAGTTTTAGGATATTTTAGTGTCTGGTCCTGCTCCTAGTAATAGATTCTTGAGCAAAAGTCTCATCCTTAACATCTATAGTACTAATAACAAATACCTCCTAGGCAACAACTAAATCAAGTATCTAAGTCAGAGTGGACGAACTCTGTGGAATAATTGGAGTTGCTCAAACTCCATCTTATGTTGCATATCTGTGGCCCAAAAAAAAATTCCACCCGCTTTGAGTCCTGATTTTTCAAATAGCTTGCCTCATCGAATGTAACATCATCTTTAATGACAACTTTTATTTCTAACTGATCATACAACTTGAAGCCCTTAACTCCACACCCGATGGAAATAAAGATCATCTTCTTTGCTCATGGTTTTAATTTATCATTCTACATGTGATAGCTAGTTGGACACCCAAATACTCATGTGTTCATAATCTATAGCAGAATACCCTAATCACATCTCTTTTGGGATCTTCTTTCCAATAGATACAAAAGGCAGACGATTCACCAAGTGACGGTCATAGTCTATGACTTAGGCCAAATATACTCTATCTAACGCAACATTGAATAACATGCACCAAAATTTCTCTATCAAAGTATGGTTCATCCTCTCAGCCACTCGATTCCATCATAGTGTCTCTCAAACAGTGAAGTGGTGCTCTACCCCATCTCTCCAGCACTCTTGCAAGAATACATCCAAGTGTATTCGACCCCATTGTCTGTTCTAATATAATATGTTTTTTTACCAGTCATAGTCTCATTCTACTTCTTCTAAGTTATGAAAATCTCTAGTACATAACTCTTGTGCTTTACAGTGCATACCCAAACATACCTGAAACAATCATCAAATAAAGAGATAAAATTTCCTTGTCCACTGAGTGATTCTGTTGTCGTCAAGCTACAAACATATTTGTGAACATATTATAAAATATATTTTTTGTTGTCGATGATAGTTCTAAAAGATATTCATGTTCTCTTGTCAAATACACAGATTTCATAAAAAATTAAGCTTACAAGTGCTTGTCTCTTTTGATCAATCATGTTTCACCAAATGAATTGAAGCCTCTCTAGCATGAGCTAGCTGCATATGTCAACAAACGGTGATGTCGGAAGAATTATCAATAATAACAACCTTTTTCAGTCGTTGTACTACCCATAAGATAGTAAATGTTGTGATAACCGACTCCCTTCATAAAATCTAGTGATCCACGACATATTCTTAGAACTCTCGCCTCAATAACTTTTTTATGGACCTTAAACTCTAAAGCCCCAACTGATAACAAATTTATCCTGATATCTGGAACATGCATAGCATTAGTAAGCTTCATCAAAATATCATCAAGCATCCTGATGAAGATACCCCCACACCAAAAGTATATTAAGCTTGATCATTGCCCATAGTCACTGCACTGCTATCTAACTTGTTATATGTACTGAACCACCCTTGATGAGGATAAATGTGAAAGGTAGCACCTGTATCCAAAATCTAGTATAAATTATCTGTAAAAAAACAGTGAGAAACTACAAATAATTATATATCAAAATTTGCCTCTTCACATTTTTCCATAATGATATTGACTTTCACCTTAGATGTAACTTCATTTCCCTTCTACTTTAATTTTGGATAATTTTTTCATCCAATAACCAGTATTTAAAAAAAAATAAATTGATTTTTCTCAAGAATGTGCCTACAAGACTTACCCCACTTTTGAGAAGTGTCACCCCTACTGCATTTCTTTATCGAATTTCATTTCTTTTTCTCAAATCGTTTCCTTTGGAGTGTAAGCACCTTAGTTGAATCCATTGTTGTAGACTCCTTGCCTCTTAGACAAAACTCATGATTCAACAACACTATAGTCATTTCGCCATACTTCAAGAGCTCCTTCCCATGAATGAGTGTCATCGTGAAGTTTTGGTACTCATTTGAAGGTGAATCTAACAGAAGGAGTGTTTTGTCTTCATCTCTAACTTCCTCATCCAAATTTAATAGATCTGTTAACTGCTTTGTGAAGTCATTAATATACTCATCAATAGTAACAAATCTATAGAGCCGACGCTTCATATGAAGTTTTTTTTCCATGCTCTTCATGAGATTTTTTTTTTTCAACATCCCCTATAATTTTTGTGCAAAACTCCCCATCACAACCCGTATTTGATCTCGTTGGTTAAGCAATTTCGAATCAAGCCACAAATACTCTGATTCTTCTTCAACCAATCTCTCTATGATATCCCTTCTAGATGTTTCTTGTTATCCAAGACTTCCTCAAAATTTAAGGAACACAACGCATCTATTACATCACATCGTCCTATGCCAAAGTTCCCTTTGCCATCACATTTCATCACATCAATTTTTAACGGAATGTGTAACCACATGAAGAATCGATTTTTCCACCGTCATAGTAGACATTGAAGAACCTGACGTCATGCTATCATTCAATGTTATCACTGTTGGAATCTCTTTCTAAAAAAATTTCACAAGCAAAATAAAATCTTTCTTAAAACATCCATTCATCTTTTTTTGTAAACCTAAAAAGAAAAGGAAAAAAAGGTTCACTTGAAGAAACAAATAAAAATTTTTATTTTTTTCTTTCTTTTTTTGTTTATGAAAATGATCCTCCGGTTGCACATTGAATCTTCGTGTCCAAGCTGTCGAGTTGTCGCTGGTCTACCATCGAACCCGCCAAATCTGCCGGCAAAGCATCTTGGACCACATGTTGCAAAAACCGTCAACAACACACGCCATATTTTCTGTTGTCAAAGCTAAGTCACACTTCGATCACAAACCCAAAGCTTTGATACTAATTTTTATGCAAAAAAGCGAAAAACGAAAAAATGTCACACAACAATGATCAAGTACAAACAATTTATGTTGTTCGACGTTAAGTTGATTCGTCTATGTCCACGGGGATAGAGAGTTTACCTGTATCGGATGGGGAGAAAGAAAAATGGCTTGAGATCACAACTTTTGCACATCTCACCCCAACTCTCTCATGAACCCTTAGTCACTTTTATAGAGGAGGATTAAGGCGTACCGACAAAATAAATTCAAAAGACTAAATTACCCTACATTAAAATAACAATCATAAATACAACAAGATCTCACTTGAGTTTACATTTAATTATCCCCAATTTACCAGCTTATCCCTTAATGATACCAACAAATTGATTTAATTTGCTAATAATATAAAGAGTACATGATGTTAATTAATGTACCGAAGAACTTTTATGAACTCAATCAAACATTAATATTTATTGCTTATTCTTTCTTGCAAAGAATTAATTGCATAACCAAACTAGCTGGAATTCAGAATCAAAATCAAACCTTTCTAATTTAATATATATTTTTTTATATTATAACCTAATCAATTTGTTTCTATAAATTTTCATCCATTTTGCGGCTTCAAAAAACAAAATTCTCCTATTTTTATAAATTAACACTTATTATGTATATATTTATATACATTTTTTTAATGTCAAGTAGTTAATGTACATGAGATTCCATCTGAAAATCATGAAAACAATTGTAATTTTTTTTTTCAATTCATCCAACTTAGCACCAACTGCAACCTGTGATGCTCCTTCAGGCGGAAAAAAATTTGCGTACGTTGCTGCGTACGTCAGGGTTATACAGAGGGTACATGGCGGTTTTTTCCGCGTTATCTCCTCTGTAAACTCCCCGTA